GGGGGGGGGGGGGGGGGGCGGGGTCCCCCCCCCGCCAGTAGAAACGGGAAGACACTTCGGGAGGGCTGGGGCGTGAAAGAGAAGGGAGTGCAATAGCCGCTCCCCTGCCTGCACAGTGGCAAGAGGCACCTCCCCAGGCCTCTGCACCCCGCCCCCCACCTGCTTCTCCTTTGCTGCTGGTGGCATTGAGGTGGCAGCAGGGGGAGATGGAGCAGGAGGCGCTTCCCTCCCTTCTCCCCCCTCGGTAATGGCAGCTGGCCAGGGCTCTGTGCTTTTCCCCCCCCACCCACCTATGGGGGCGCAAGACTGCTAGCGGGCGAGGGGGCACAAAGGAGAAGGGCTGCTCCCTGTGCCCATGAAGTAGTAACGACCATGCTCCCTAGGACTGCCTCACTCTGGGGAGCATGGGGGTGGGGTGAGGGTCTGGGGGGGTCACAGGGCAAGAGGGAGTTGGCATGGGCTGTAGGGATGGGATCAAAGGGTGTTAGGCACTGGGAAGCAAGGAGGCTGGGTTGGGGTTAGGTGGACTGCAGCGTTTTATTTGCATATCATTAGCATAATGAATATGCAGACAAAATGTTACTGCTCCTCCAAAAATTTGTGAATGGATTTGCTGGTCCCGCATAAAAAAGGCTGGGAACCACTGCACTGGAGCAACCCCCTGCCTGTGGTATGCCATGGACAAGGGTCTTGCTCCTGCCATATTGGGCACCAGTTAACTGGTTTCTGGTAAGCATTCCCGGGTAACTGTTTACATCCCTAGTTGTATATCAGTGCAGAGTGTTTCAATCAGAAAACATTCAGATTTGTGATAGACAGTAAAAATGTCAGGCGCTTAAATCAGCGGGAATTAAGTTTCTTCATCATCCAAGCTCTTTTGAAAACTTTGCCCAGAAGTTTTAATTTCTCATTTGTAGGACTGGGATTTTAAAATGAAATTTTGGTGCAAACAGAACTTTGTTAAAGTCAAGCCTAGAAGATAATGGTGGTTGTATTGGACAAAACTTATTGTACATCCATTTATGTTCTTTAGCTTTAAAGAAGCCCCTTATTTCAACATCTCAAAGTGAAGATCATCAACCCAATTTGAATCTTCCTACTTTACAGCCCCATATGCCAAATATGGCTCCAGGTATGAACTTTTAATAGGCGATATTTCAAAATCTTGTAAGATCTTGTTCGATAGCTAATTGAAATAAATGGGACAAGGATTTCGCTTTCTGAAAGGATTTTCTGTGCTTCTTATGCATATGTGTCTGCCACTCTGAAGTGGCTTTGCCTTTAAAATAAGATTTTATTTTAAAGGCAAAGCCACTTCAAACAATCACAAGATTAAGAAATGTCTTAATCCATTTTAACTGCACTATTAAACCATAACAGAATACCAATTTAAATTTATTATAAATATTTTGAATATTTTTCCTGCATTTTCAAATATTGATTTAAATTATCACAGTATATGGAGTATATAGTGCTCACTTTATTTTTATTACAAATATTTGCACTGCAAAAAAACCAAAAGACCAATTCACCTCATACTTGTCTACTCAGTCCTATTTCTTTTTCAGCCAATTACTAAGATAAACAAGTTTGTTTACATTTATGAGATAATGCTGCCTGCTTCTTACTTACAATGTCACCTGAAAGGGAGAACAGGCATTCACATGCATTGTTGTTGCTAGCATCACAAGGTATTTACCTGCCAGAGATGTTAAACATTTGTCTGACTCTTCATGTTTCGACTTGTAGGCTCTAAAGTTTTACATTGTTTTATTTTTGAGCGCTGTTATGTGAAATAAATAAAAAAAATCTGCATTTTGTAAATTGCATTTCCACATAGAGTACTTGTATCAAGTGAAATGAAAAATATTCTTGTTTTTTTGATGTGCAGATATTTGTAAGAAAAATAAAATAAAGTGAGCACTGTACACTTGTGTTCTGTGTGTTAATTGAATTCAGTATATGTGAAAATGTAGAAAAAAATACAAAATAGCTATCATAAATTTAAATTGGTGTTCTGTTATTTTTTAACGGTGTAATTAAAACTGATTAATCATGATTATTTTTAATCAGGTTAATTTGTTCTGCATTAATTGTTTGAGTTAACTGCAATTAACTAACAACTCTGATTCAAATTATTACTCTAGAAATAATAAATGCTGTACAGTAGATATGAATGTGGGGGAAGCTTAGCACAATCCTATGATTAAGGGGTCAGAAACTTTGAGGTACACATTGAAACTTATCTGAGAGAAGCTATTAGTGCCTTGCCCTTTTCATTCATAAAAGTATGGACTATGCTGAATTATCTTTAGGCCCTTTAGATGGTACGGAAGGAAATCTAAAAGGGCAAAATAACACTTTTCTTCATGTTGTAGATTTAAATGCTGACAATGAGGAAAACATTAACATCGTGAAGCAGATACCTCCAAATCCTCCTCAGCTTTTGATTCCAGAACAAAACTTGGAAAGTAAAATAGAACACAAAATGGAAAAAGACCTTGGAAAGCAAGTTCCAAAGGACAGAGTTGGTGACTTCCAGAAGATGAAGCAAAGTAAGTTAATCATTACCATTGTACTTCAGTATCTGGGGATCCATGCATGCCTTTTCATGTTGTATGTGACCAGTTGTGTGGTTGGCCTTATCGAAATGAAACATGCAGAAAAATTAAATGTTAAGATATTAGTACAGAAGGTACATTCCTTAAGAAAATTAAGACAATAGCATGCCATGTTCAGAGAGATTAATTATTAAACTATCTTTGAGTATTAAATATCTAAATTTCATGTTAGTGCTACATTTTAAGTATGAAGACATTCAATCAAAATATGAAAATCAGTTTGTAGTAAGTTGAGGTAGATAGCTGCGTGTATCTATACAATATGACTTAAGTTTTGACTTTTTTTCCCCCTTAGTGGCCATGTCTTGAATGCTGTTATAAAAGAAATCATTTGGTATCATAATGGGGAGGAAATTGACTTGGTTTGTTTACTTTTTTGTTGTTCAGAAGCTTCTTCTGTTCCAAACATGTCTTTCAGAAGAACCCTTATGCGGTCTTATGTCTGTGTTGGAGATTTTTTTAAATTCTGGCAGCAGCGAATTATACTTAATGAGCAGAATTAATTGTTGTCATGCCAAGGATGGATTAGTGGACAGAGTGTAGGTGAAACAAAAGTGCATCACAAATATAATTTCATGAGGCTCTGTAGCTTATCATATGAACAGCATGTGGTATGTTACAAAAAAGTGTTGTGTTGTTTTTCATTTTTAAATCCTAGTTTTCAGTCTTTAAAATGTCGAAGTTTTTCATATTAGCATTGAGAAGTCTTAGCTCTTACGTACACTATAACCCAGTTATTTTTGGAGACCTAATTTCAACTGTTTATGAATTATTTGATTACAATTCCTGGGGAGGGGAGGTGTGAGAGGACCACTTGAAGAGTAACTTTAGTTGTGTGTTTAATTTTGTCACCTTTTCTCAAGAAGTCTTTTATTGTAAATCTGTTTATATTTGGTAGCTTTAGAAGTTCAAGGTTGCATTAGCATGTGTACTCACATTGACTTATATTTCATCCAGGTCTTATTTTCTTACATCAAAACAAAGCTTTTCAGACTTTTCAGATGAAAAGTTCACCCTTGAAGTGCTGTTCTGTGTACTGGGGTAGATTCTGTACCTCTTTATATCCCAGATTTGGGGCGTTCTGATTTTTTTTTCCAGCTGAAAAGCATCTATGAACATATAGTTAAAAATAAGTGATTTATGGAAACTTAGCTTTTGTTTACTGTTGATGCTTTAAAAGCACTTTACCCAAATGGTATGCATGTTATTCATGGAAGAAACAAAGGACAAGTTTTGGTGATAAGACATTCTTAAATATACTTCTGCATTGCGAATACCAACTTGGGCTGTTTTTAAGCAGGAAATGTAGAATGTTAGAATAAATATCTTTATGCATAGCAGAATCAGTTAAATGAAACGAACTGACTCAGATTCAGAGTAATTTTTTGGGGTATCTAAAAATGTGAATTGGACAAATTTTCTCTTGTAGTGCATTATAGTCTGTTATTTTGATAGGGAGAAATATCTAAAAGTATTAAAATATTTAGTTAATAGAATTCTTGTGTTGATCCTTTTGGTTTCCCTTGCATTTTGGAAGGGGACACTGTTACTATATCAGTCCACAAAGAACAGCTACTTACCCTAAAACAACCTTTCTCTCTTTCTCCCCCACCCCCCTCCTCCTCCCTGTCTCTCTCTCTCTCTCCACTGATTTGTCCACATTTATTCCACTTTTCGTGCTCACAAGCACAGAATTTTGTTCGTGTCTATTGAAAAATTACTGTATAAAGTTAGGTGCCAGACCTGGAGTTCTCTACCAAGGATTTGTGCTGGGTGAAGGTGCAAACCAAACTACTAGTAGCTGTTCTATACATCAGAAATTGGAACACCTCAGTGCAGCTGTTTGAGTGGTAGAGTGGGTTCTCGTCTATGTAGATGGGTCCCAGTGTCCTGCCTTATAACATTCTAATGCAGTCCTGAACCCATTCAGATAGTCTGGGTAGAAATGGTCAGTTGGGCCTCCTTCAGAATACTGCACAGCTGCAACCAAGATGCTCTCCCTGCAGTAGTTGTTTGTTTTGATAGTTGTTGGCATCTGAGACCTTTAAGGATATTTTTAAAAAGTGCAAATTACCAGTTGCTCCTCATAAATTCTTCCTTATTTTCCTGAGGGAGTGTCTCAAACTGATGTTCTGGCCCAGTTCAAGAAGATGTACTTAGCCAAGAGCATTTGGCAGTTTGATAGATGCATCTTTATGTTGTCTAACTAAATAACTAAATAAATGGGATTTTACATCTCCAGCTGCCAGTCTTCTGGACATGGATGAATTCAGGATAAGAAGAATTTTCAGCTTCTTTCATTGTTTCTATTGGGATTTCCAAGCTAACAGCCATTCACAGGAGGAGCTCCTGGAAGATCCAGTCATCACCTCATTAGGTGACATTGTATTGCCATTGGGATAGGCTTGACATCTGTGTCTTGAAGAAATTTTGGGTCTACATCCTGGTCTTGATGTTGAGCGGTATGGTGGACCAGTTCCCTTCTTGAGGTGGCCTAAGATGTAAGGGAGGATTTTGCTTGGGAGGTAGAAACAGTTGATGAAGTCTTTGTGCTGTTGCATCTCCCAACAGCCCCAGAATAGCTGTGATTGCATCTGATTGAGATGTGATGCTGTAGGCCAGAGTGGATTTCCCCCAAGAGGACACAAGGATGGGTCCCCGCCAGTCCCCTCTCACCTGTTGTTATTTTTGCCCATGTTAGAATGGCTTGGCTCAAAACAAGGAGAGAGTGGTCTGTGGGTGACGTCTCTTGACTTGGCTGAGGTAGGAGGGAAGAGTATATCTCCTCTGCAGGAGGAGACATTCTCTCAGGCATTGTCGATGGTTCCCAAGTATCTTGTGTACCAACTGAGGTGTTGCTCCAGATGCTACTAGAACTAGGAAGATTTTTTGTTTTTGTTTTTAATCTGTGGCCAGCAATAGCAATACTGGGAGGTTGGTTACTGCTAAGTCTCTTGATACTAAAACAATCTACACTAGATGTGCATCCCATACATTAGACAGGTAACACGGTAGGTGCTTTGGTGCTGAACGTTTCAGTGTTGATGCTATGGTACTAGTCAAGGCATGTACCAGCTCAAGAGACCACCTGGAAACCTGATGGTGTTGAGGTGTCAGTAGCACAATATCTGGGTCTCAGACTGTCTCCTGGGTGCTCGTGAGGGAGATCTGTCCCTTCGAAAGCAGTGTACTTTCCTCCCTCTTGCCTCAGAGCTCTGTGTCCAAGAAGGTTTGTGGGTTTTGCTGATTCTGTGATGGATGTATAGGACTTCCTTGAGGAGGACTGGGCCCAGGGCTGACAGGCACGCTGACGGTGTCTACTCTGGCTTGGAGGATACCCTCAGGGACCTTTACTTGAGGAAAGTTTTAGGCAGAATTCCCTCTATTTGTGTGTCTGAAAAGCACTATATGTGCTTCAGTGAGGCAGAAGAGGCACTTGAAGTGGCCATAATTAATGTGAATAGTGGCCTAGCAAGAGGGACAGGACCCTGGGGATTTTGATTTTACCATGTCTAGGTGAACGTAAGAACTGCCATACGGGGTCAGACCAAAGGTCCATCTGTCAACAGTGGCCAATACGAGGTGCCCCGGGGGGAGGGATCACAACAGGTAATCGTCACGTGATCCCTCCCCTGTCACCCTCCTCCAGAGAAACAGAGGCCAGGGACACCATTCCTACCCATCCTTGCTGATAGCAGTTGATGGATCTGACCTCCCTGAATCTATCTAGCTCTTTTTTGAACCCTGTTAAAGTCCTGGTCTTCACCACATCCTCTGGCAAGGTCAACCTGTGGAACTCTGTGTGCTGAGTGAAGAAAAACTTCCTTTTGTCTGTTTTTAAAGCTGATGCCTATTAATTTCATTTGGTGACCCCCTAGTTCTTGTATTGTGGGAATAAGTAAATAACTTTTCCTTATTCACTTTTTCCACACCAGACTAGAACAGTGGTACTGCTCTGGAGCACCTCCCACATACTTTATTTTTGGCCAATGAGTTTAAAAATTATACTAAAAACTAGATCGGAAAGGAAATTACACAGGGCTCAGCTTGGGTTCCAGCTTGATTTTTGGGCAGTAGAAGGAAAGTTAGGGGTAACTGTGGCTATCTAACCCTTTATGCCTTACAGGGCACTGGAGGACACGCAGGGTCAGGTGAGGCCCTGGGGACACACTGCTGTTCAAAATAGTCTGAGTTTGTATGGCTGGCGGGAGGCGGTACATGCATACCAAAATACTTGTGAGCAGTTTGCTAAATAGTAATGGTTTTGTAGGAGCAGTTACATAACTCTTGTCCATGCCTGGCTGCCGTCAGCTAACTCAAGAAAAAAGGTAGATGATAGCTCTTGGTGCATCAGTAAGTCTATAGTACTTGAGAAATATTAATAAGAACATAAGAACGGCCGTACTGGGTCAGACCAAAGGTCCATCTAGCCCAGTATCCTGTCTACCGACAGTGGCCAGCACCAGGTGCCCCAGAGAGGGTGGACTGAAGACAATGATCAAGCGATTTGTCTCCTGCCATCCCTCTCCAGCCTCTGACAAACAGAGGCCAAGGACACCATTTTATCCCCTGGCTAATAGCCTTTTATGGACCTAACCTCCATGAATTTATCCAGCTTCTCTTTAAACTCTATTATAGTCCTAGCCTTCACAGCCTCCTCTGGCAAGGAGTTCCACAGGTTGACTACACGCTGTGTGAAGAAGAACTTTCTTTTATTCGTTTTAAACCTGCTCCCCATTAATTTCATTTGGTGTCCTCTAGTTCTTCTATTTAGGGAACTAATAAATAACTTTTCTTTATCCACCCTCTCCACACCACTCATGATTTTATAGACCTCTATCATATCCCCCCTCAGTCTCCTCTTTTCTAAACTGAAACGTCCCAGTCTCTTTAGCCTCTCCTCATATGGGACCTGTTCCAAACCCCTCATCATT